TTTAATATGCCGAAAGTGTAGTTTACAAACCGTAACAAAGTATGTAAAGATCAGAACGGGCATAGAGTTGGAAATAACTAAATTAACTAAAATTTGGTTAAGTTCAGCACGTCACGCTGAAGTGGCGTTGCAAACTTGAATGTCTACAGAAACTAGGCAGCCGTTCCAGATCTGCTGCACAAACATTTCCCACAAAATTCAGTGGCTTAGAGCAACAACCATTTCATCACATCATTTGCTGGGGAAGGGTTTAGGCAGGGCTCAGCTGGATGATTCTTCTGGCCTGTGGTGTTGCCGGAGGTTGCTCTGCGGTGTTCAGTTGGCAGATGGCTGCTCTGGAGGGGGCAGTGCAGCTTCCCTCATGGACGGGCTCCTTGGCAAGAGCAGCTGAGCTCAGCTGAGTTATTCTCCATGTTTTTCGTGACATTGTAGCAGAAAAGCAGCCATAGACAGTATGTAAATGAATGTGGCTGTGTTTCAATAAAACTTTATTTGCAAAACAGTGCAGCCTACTTGACATAGCTTGCCTACTCCTGCTACAGATGAATGAGAGAGCAGGGCCATCTGAAAGGACGTTCCAAAAATGAAAAATGATTATAAAGTGTTGATGGATGATGGGGGAACTGGGTAATTAAAACTGCAGCTATTTTTAGAAAGGAAGGAGGTAGATATTTTTTTCAGTGGCAGATTGTATTTTCCAAAGATGGAGGCACTTCAATGTGCCATTCCTCCAATGGAGATGGGGGTCTGTGCCCTCTGTCTTTGAAACTGAGTGTGCTTTTGTGACTGCTTTGACCAGTAGAGTATGAGAGAAGTAATACATTGTGATTTTTGAGGTCAGGGCATGACAGGGCATCTAGCTTCCACCTCACTGTTGGGAAAGCTACCAAGTGACCAGTGAAGCTTGTGGCTACCAGGTGACCAGCCTGACTCCTGTGCAGTGGCCCATGCTGTGAGTTCATCTACACTTGCCCATTTGGAAGGACCATATAGAGGGGATTGAGGACAATATGAGATGGAGAGATGCCAGTCCTGGCTGCCTCAGCAACTCACAGTTCCAGCTTCAGCCACCCTCTATACAGATGCCAAACCACCCAGCCAAGCCCTTCTGAAATTCCTGACCCACAGAAACCCCGAGAGAAAACATGAGGATTGCTGCCGTTTTAAACTACTGAGTTTTAGAGTGATTTGTTAAGCAGCGTGAAATTGCTAAAACATAGATAAAGTAAGATGAACTAACTATGTATATCATTAGGTGAGATTAAGCCAATTAGTGTAGCATATATTTATGGAAGGGTATACAAAAATTGTTAAATACTGTTTCTGGGGAATGGAACTGTGAATCCAGGGTGGAAGGGAGACTGCTATTTTCATTTTTTATTCACCATAGTTAGAAGTTTTTACCATGTGCATATGTTACTTGATAATTTTTTAAAAACTAGTTTAAATTTTAAATAAAGCAGAGAATGATAAAGCTAGAATATGCTGAGTTCACAGGATTTTTTAGAGCATTAGTTCCTATTTGCTTTCCCAAGCATCTATAGAAATCAGAGCTGTGGTACTTTAAATTCTTCACAAATTCACAAGATCACAGCCACGGGCCATTTCTTATACACCAGCTTAGATTTGGAGATAAAATAATATATTTAATCATGGATAATTTAGAAAGAAAACCTGTTTCCAGAAATAACACAGATCAAAGTAAACACTTCATGTCAATTCATGGTCTTATTCACCTTGGGGTTCTTTTTTTTTTTTTTTAAAGATAATGAGATACAAATTTTAACTTTAAAAAACCCCCACATGTTGTCATGCTGCCAAGATCCTTGTCGTTCCCACCCCAGCCTAATCCTCACTGCCTTTACTGAAAGGTATGGAATGTTTTTAATGAGATCCTTTCATAGAAACATTTAGTAAAACTACATGTCGAGTCTCTGTTTTAATCCTAATCGCTTTGGGGGAGAGAGACAGATTTTGTCTGAAGAGACTAGATTTCCATAAAATGATACTGTATAATCAAACTTCTCAATTCAGACGTGATTTCCTAAACCTGAAGGTTTTGTTCCTTAGTTTTAGCTTTGCCTTAAATCTGTGGATCACAGATGTGAATGCAATTTTAGTTTTAGCTTTGCCTTAAATCTGTGGATCACAGATGTGCATGTAATTTTAGTGATTTGTTTAAGCCCTCTTCACTTGCAGATGAAGAAACATACGTTTTAAAGTTCAATTACTTAAAACAGTCATTCTCAGATTTGATCAGGCACTAGAATGACCTGGAGGGCTTGTTAAACCACAGCTTGCTGGGCCCACCCCCTGAGTTTCTGATTCTGTGGGTTTAGACAGAGTCTGAGAATCTCCAGCAGGTTTCCAGGTGATGGTGAGGCCCCTGGTCCAAGGACCACACTTTGAGAAGCGCTGCTTTGAAGTAAATCCTTCTCAGACCAAACTGGAAGGTTTCTTTTCCTCTTTTAGGCAAAAATATTCCCACTGTGCTCAGATTTGATCTTACCTTGATGGTTACTTAAATGAATTGTACATGTTTACTTCTTCTGGCTGTCTAAGAAAGATGCACATCCCCTAACGCTTTCCTTAAGCTGTTCCATTTGTCTTTGGCTTTTTTCAGTCACTAAGACTGGAAGTTCTTGCACAACCTGCTACGAAGGCGAACGGCCCCGATGCTTCTGCATGGAGCACTTGCCCAGTCTCTCCCCTTGCGCATGTGCGTGGCTCCGACCCTTGCAGCTCCCTGTCTTATGGGTGTTTGAGTCCATTCTCAGCTGTGCTTTATATATATATATATAAATATATATGTATATATAATTTTTTTTTTGAGACAGGATCTTGCTCTGTCACCCTGGCTGGAGAGCAGTGGCACAATCTTGGCTCACTGCAACCTTCGCCTCCCTGCTTCAAGCAATTCTCCTGCCTCAGCCGCCTGAATAGCTGGGACTGCACTCACGCACCATCACATGCAGCTAATTTTTGTATTTTTAGTAGAGACGGGGTTTTGTCATGTTGGCCGGGCTGGTCTTGAACTTCTGAACTCAGGTGATCCGGCCACCATGGCCTCCCAAAGGGTCAGAATTACAGGTGTGAGCCACCACGCCCAGCCGGCGCGCTTGATGTTCCTAGCCGCTTCTCTCGTACATCATAGAAAATCTCTCTCAGACTTCGTGGTTTGCATGCAGAGCATGATTTGATGCAAACATTTTGAGTAAGTGTTTGTTTCAATAGAATAACCCTCTGTAGCAACCCCTTTGAAGCAAGGTTTGTGATGATCTTTGTATGTCACAGCAGGAATATGTCTTTGATAGCAACAGGTCACAGCTTTATATCTGTTTTGAAAACAAACCTAAGGCTATAAATAAATTAATAAAGCAGTTGAGGGTTGCAATAAAAATTGTGCAGCTAGACCACAGTTTCTGAAGGAGAGAGGAGAATCTTGTTAGCATAAGCCAGTTGCATTCAGCATGTTTTCAGAGACTGTGCCAAAGGCCAGGATGGGGTTGAGTACAGAATGATGAGTAGGACCTGTCTGCAGAGGGCAGCCAGGCAGCCTTGCATGATAGTAGCCAGTGCAGACTTTGAAGTAAGTGGGACTGGGTTCAAGTCCCACATCCATTACCTGCTGGTGTGGACCAATATGTGCCTTCGTTAAGCTTCACTTCCCTCCATCTATGAAATGGGAATAAAGCACCTACTGCATATGTCTTCCAAGAGTGCCACAGGGTAGGTGTTTTAGTTTGTTTTAGTTTGCTTGGGCTTCTGTAACAAAAATTCTATAGACCATGTGGCTTAAACAACATGCATTTATGATCTCACAGTTCTAGAGGCTGGAAGTCCAAGACTAAGGTTCTGCAGGGCTTGGTTTTTGATGAGGGCTCTTGTCATGGATTGCAGATGGCCGCCTTCTCAACGTGTGCCCACGTGGTCTTTCTTGGTGCATGCAGACGGGGGTGGGGGGGTGGAAAGAGAGAGAGAGAGTGAGCATGCAAGTGAGCTGGCTCTCTTAGGTCTCCTCTCTTAAGGACATTAATCCCATCCTAGCGACCTCACCTTCATGGTCTCATTTAATCTACCCCCAGAGGCACTCACCTCCAAATACTGCCTTCCCTATGCCCCACTGCCTCCCATGGTGGGTTAGGGCTTCCACATGTGTGTTTTAGGAGGATACAGCCCATAATATGCTTGTCAATTGCTTACAGCCCCAGTTCCTGATGTTAGATAATGGCTGTTAGTAGCGGCTTGCGGTTTTCCTTACAAGTGTCTTCTTCCTCCTTCGGCCTTCTGCTACCAGCTGTCATCAGATGTAGCTCTGTTGTGAGGGCTAGAAAAAACCCTGCAGAGTTTTAACGGGCTTTTACATCACTCCTAGTTACTGCTCTTATCAGAGGCTTTTGGGATAAATTTAATCGGCACAGACTTAGGCTTTCCTTTTTCTGGGTTCTAATTCTCCAGATACTCTGCTGAGTTCAGTATAGATTCCTATTTCACAGTAACATGACTATAATTCAGATAGGGAAGCTCGGGTGTGTCAATTCTCTACGTGGGCATTGAAACTAATTTTAAAACATGAGAATTTTTTAGTCATGTTTTGTTTTTTGGAGCATTTCAGTAGTCCTGTAAATGTGATCTAAAAGTGTTAACAGAAGAATATTATATCCAGTACATACTTAACTTCTAAAATTCTAATACTTGATTGAACTGTTTAAAGAATGCGTATTTTCTGCGAAATTGGACATCTTCGCTGTGTTCCCTTGTTGAAGTTCGGTTAAAAGATGTGCTTATGTGTTACTGTTTACGCAGAACAACCAAGGTTGTTTTACAAAGGAAGGGAGTTAAAAGTGGTGAAATCAGGACGAGATGAAGAACGGAGACTGGAATCACATGCCAAAGGCTCCCAAACTGAGGATTATCTCCCTTGTGGAAAAAAGACGTTCTCCTACCACCAAAATGCTTTCCTGCATCACCGATAATACTGTGTGTTTTCATTCCTACAGAAAACCAAACCCTTGATGACAGAATTCTCGGTGAAGTCTACCATCATTTCCCGTTATGCCTTCACTGCGGTTTCCTGCAAAATGCTGAACAGAGCTTCTGAGGACCAGGAGATTGAGTTTCAGGTGCAGATTCCAGCAGCAGCATTTATCACCAACTTCACCATGTAGGTGACACACTGGTCAAGGACAAAGATTTCTGTGTGGAGTTGTCAGGGTGAGCCTGAGATGATGTGAGGTCCACAGCCTTCTAGCTGTGAGGATTTATATTCCAATAGTTGGCATATGGATCAGAAGGCCAACTCTTTTGTTTATTCATTGATTGGTTCATTCATTTCCTTCCTTCCTTTCCTCCCTCCCTCCCTCCCTCCCTCCCTCCCTCCCTCCCTCCCTCCCTCCCTCCCTCCCTTCCTTCCTTCCTTCCTTCCTTCCTTCCATTCCTTCCCTTCCTTCCTTTCCTTCCCTTCCTTCCCTTCCCTTTTCCCTTTCCCTTTCCTTTCCCCCCTTTTTCCCCTTTCCCCTTTCCTTTCCTTTCCTTTCCTTTCCTTTCCTTTCCTTTCCTTTCCTTTCCTTTCCTCCCTTTCCCTCCCTCCTCCTCTCTCTGCCTTCCATTTTTTCTTTTTTCGTTCATTTTCTTTCTTTCCTCCTTCTTTTTCTCTTTCTTTCTTTCCCTCCTCCCTTGCAACAAATGAATGACCATTATGGGCCAGGTACTCTTCATGGAAATTGGTGCACTTCTCTGTCACTGTGCTGCACAGATTCCAGTGGAGAGAAACAGTCAATAGACAAATGAACAAAGAATGAATGAGATGAATTTCCGACAGTTACAAATATTATAAAGATGGCAAGTCAGACCGAGAGGGGCATCTTTAGTTAGGGAGATCTGGGAATAGCTTTGAGGAGGCCATGGTAAAGTTGAAGCCTGAAAGACAAGGCAGCGTGGAAACTTTGATATACTAGATTGGGTATCTTTCCTCCTCCTCTGAGCCAAGAAGAAAAGATATGCAAAACAGAGTAGGTGTTGGCTTTAATATTTGGTCCAGATCAGATGTAAGTGGGTAAATCTTCATGGGAATGTGTGCAGATCTTGTGATTTTTCTCCTGGAGAATCACGGTGGCACTGTGGGTTGGGTCTTGCTATTTGGACCTGCTGAAAATTGCCCTAGAGTGAAATGAATGATTCAAGGGTAGTGCCCTAGTCTGGAATGCATTCTTTCTACACATCCAAGAGGTAAATAAAAATATTTCCTGGGGTTGTCATGGTTATGAGATCCGTGTTTGAATTTGTCTTGGAACTGCAAGCTTGTAGCACAGCTGTCTCTTGTGTTTCAGGCTTATTGGAGACAAGGTGTATCAGGGTGAAATTACAGAGAGAGAAAAGAAGCGTGACGATAGGGTAAAAGAGAAAAGGAATAAAACCACAGAAGAAAATGGGTAAGTACTGGTTAACGAAGGAATCAAAAACGTGTCAGGTTTTCTATGCCTTTGCCTGTTCATCTTGCTACCTTCCTTTCCTCCAAGTATTTTTCCCATTCTTTTTTCTTTTTTATCAAAATAATAAATATATCTGGTGAATAATGTAGTAGATTAGTGTTTGCAACAAAAAGGAAAATTTTACCATACCTGTCTCTCATTATCAGCTCTTAGACATATCCCCTTCTAATATTTCTATATGTAGTTTCTTTTCTTTTCTTTTTGAATGAGGTCTCACTCTGTTGCCCAGCTGGAGTGCAGTGGTGCAATCATAGCTCACTGCAGCCTCAACCTCCTGGGCTCAAGCGATCCTCCCACCTCAGCCTTCCAAGTAGCTGGGATTACAGGTGTCCACTACCACACCCAGTTAATTTTAATTTTTATTTTTTGTAGCAATGGGGTCTTGCTCCATTGCCCAGGCTGATCTTAAACTTCTGGGCTCAAGCAGTCCTCCCAGCACTGCCCTCTCAAAGTACTGGGATTGCAGGTGTGAACCACTATGCCTGGGCTGTACATGGTTTTCTTTTAGTTACCTCCCTAACTCTAAATATTATGATGGTCATACTTCAAAAAAATTGTTTTTGATAAAAATAAGACATCTGTTGACTCTTCGCTGTAAAGGAAGGGTATATAGCAAATTGACAAAACTCCTATTTTTACTCTGCATTCCGATTTTTATATTACTATTTTATTTCTTCTTCCATCGATTCAGCAGTGTTTAGACTATCTTGGACCATCCCTACTATCTGGAAGGATGATACTCCCTCCCCTAACCTCCACTGTCTCTCTCCTTTCTCATTTTTCATGATGTTACCTAATCATTGTTTGAGTTATTAGCGTCTTAATTCTGACTTGTAATACTTTTATTCTTTCTTTTGTCTGTAAACGGAATCTAAACATCGAAACCAATACATAGCAATAGCTTTTTAATGACTATATAAATAACATGAACTGCATGGAGACCCACCTAGTACACTAAGAATATTTTTTCCTCTCCACCAGCCCAATGTGAAGGCCTTCCTGCTGGCAGAAAAGGGATCTTTATATCTAGATAACATGGGGTGAACTTGATAACCCAATTTTCCTCATGAATAAAAAGACATCATTTTGAGAAATTTAGTTCTCTAAAATAATAGACTGCCAGAAACTTTGCTGTTGGAAGTTTTATTAGTGACAAGGGAGTGTCTCACTCTTGTCTGGAAGACGTGAGCCATGGGTTCACTTAGATACAGAAAAGCAACCAAGGTCCAGAGCTTCAGATAAGGGGTTTTCAGGCAGAAAGTTCCAAGTTTATCTTAATGTCGTAGTTTCTAAGGACACAGAGAATCTTGAGTCTGCTTCTCATTCCAGGCTGAAATGATGGTTTTACACACAGCCTTAGCTTTGAGTCTGCCCAAACACTGCTCTGTTTAACTTTAACCTATCCTCCGTCCTTTCCCTAATCCTACAATAACCCTGTCTCTTCCTTGTTTGATGAGTTGCATCTTGGTGCCTCTGGTATGTGGTTTCCCTGGCTGTAGCAAGGTATTAAAACCTAACTCTGTTAGACCATAGCTTTGTCCCAAGTGATCTTTATCACAGTTGTTCAGAATTATGCTGCGGTTAGTTTAGCTGAATCATGAAATATGTATCTATTTTTTCCTGGAGTTTCTAATGGCTTCTCTTTTTTCTTACTATGTAACATCTAGCGAGACATATAACTCATTTCAAATGATAACAAAATGAACAGCTACGACCAAGTTTCTGCAAACACTGACATCCGTATCACTGCTGATATCTGGCCAACAGCAGCTGAAAGGCATCACCAACTGGGAGACACTGTGATTTCGGGGCTGTTAAAACATGAATGTCTTTACTTCCATAAAGCACTTTCATTGTTTTTCAGCCTTGATGCAACACTTTTACCCTGGTATCTCTTGTCATTTTCTTTTGGGTTGGTTTTATTTCACGGATTCCACATTTTCCTCTTCCTCGGCTTTCACCTTTACTTTGCAGAAGTCATATTCTGAGGTAACTTTCTCAGAATGGGTGCATGAGAGGTGAACTTTCTGAGACTTGATTAATATATTTTGGCTGTGTATGACCTTGAGGTCAAAATGCTTTTCCTTTTGAACTTTAAGGGATTGCTCCAGTGTCTTATAACATCCGGTATTGTTGATGATACATCTAATGGGATTGGATAACATCCCTTTCTCTGTGTTGTTCTGAAGTTTTACAATGGTGGGTTTACGTTTCAGTCTCTTTTCATACATTTTGCTCAGTGCTTGAACGTTTTCATTTCAACACTTGTGTCTTTTTCCAGTTCGGGGAAGGAGGAGTATAGAAAGCCGATTCGCTTAGTCATTCAGTCATGTTGGACTTGGAATTATCCTCTGTATATTGGGTTCCTCTTCTCCCTTCCGTCTTGTGGTGTCCGGAATTCAGAGCCTGCAGTCTGTCTAAGATTCTGCCACACAGTTGGGTTCTCTCCTTTGCTGCAGTCCTTTCCTGCACGTTCTGAGCTGTAAAGTTCTTGCTCTACTGAATACCCCAAGCCTTCCGGAAACTTCTTGAAATGTCTCACTCCCGCTTATTCTTCTGGTGGTCAGGTCAGTCTGCCACTTCGAATCCGAGAACCCTCACTCTAAGTACTGAAAGCATGTGGAGTGTATTTTCCTTTTAATCAACTTTGGAGTTCTTTATTCCCTACATTTCCTACTAAACATGTCCACCAAACTTTACCAGGGTGTGAAAACCTAGTACGTTAGCTATTTTAAAGTTACGTAAAATGCCAAGATTCAGTGGCCATCCTTGTTAAACGAAGAGCACGGTTCACAGCTTGACTCCAAAGCTCTCTCTCCTAGCAGTTCACCTACTCAGTCTCCTTTCCCAGTGCTCCTTTGGGTCTGCCTCAGGAGAGGGAGAACGGGACAGTCGTCTTAGAGTCCTCTCCTGCTCAGTATTCTTTGACCCCTGGTGACCTTCCTCGAGCACGGGGTTTTACTTCTTCCAAAACTAATTTTCATTTTTCTTTTCTCAGGACCCACACTCGCACCCAAGGGTCTCCCTGGCAGGCTGGTTGAGAGGCTGGTGCCCTGTGGGGACTGAGGGAACCTGGCTCTATCCACCTCTGAACCTCCCTCAGGTCCTTTTTCTTTTTCCTGACAGAGAAAAGGGGACTGAAATATTCAGAGCTTCTGCGGTGATTCCCAGCAAGGACAAGGCCGCCTTCTTCCTGAGTTACGAGGAGCTTCTGCAGAGGCGTCTGGGCAAGTATGAGCACAGCATCAGCGTGCGGCCCCAGCAGCTGGCCGGGAGGCTGAGCGTGGACGTGAATATCCTGGAGAGCGCGGGCATCGCATCCCTGGAGGTGCTCCCACTTCACAACAGCAGGCACAGGGGCAGCGGGCGCGGGGAAGGTGAGTCCTGCGTGCTGGGTCCGCTCAGATCTGCGGTGAAAACACCCAGCTGGTACTTGGCTTCAGAGAAATCTACAAGAGATGGCACCCCTGGCACCCCTTCCCTTCAGCAAAGCCTTTGTGTCTTTGTAGGAGTTGGAATGAGAGCAATGAAGCTAAGACAGCACCCTGTACATACATATATATATATTTAAAGCCAAGTTCTACTAGGAGCTTTAAACATTTATGAATTATTGATGCAGTAATACCACTTCTGGAAATCTATCCTAGGTAAAACATCTAAAATATTGGGAATGTCATAGGCACAAGCTCGTTCAATAATATTTGTGGTAGCAAAAACATTTCATCAGCCTAAAGATTCAATTACATGGAAAAGATTAGTAAATTACAATTATAGGACAATTCAGTATGTGGCAGGGAAGAAAAGGCAAATCATACACGCACTACAGCGTTAAATATGAAGCTGACAAAATACTAGAAAGTTATAGAAAACAATCATTTTGTACTGAGGGTGTGAGATTATAGGGCCATTTTCTAAAGTATGTTTCTTAATGTTCAGCAGTATGTTACAGTCTTTCTAAATATAAATAATGAAAAATACTTAGTATAGATGGGAGATACAGGCATCTTGATTCATTAACAGAATCATTCAGTTTAGGTTTTTCTCAAATTCTCATTTTTAAAATAGGTCTTCATTTATCGAAATGAAAAATAATCTAGTTTTAATCACCTTACTTTTTTTCTTTTCTTGGAAGGGAGGTTTCTGGTTTTCACAAAATCTAAAAGAGTAACTTTAGTTACTATATTAATTTCAACTAATAGTATATATCAAGCGTACTTGTGTTGGGCTGTATGCCTAATATGCCAGTAAGCCTGGTCAGCGTTGAATCGGATGAGACAGCTATGTTCAAAAATTGCACCGGGATAGAATATCAAGATTTCAGAGAATTGTGACATTGAGGGTGGAGAAATGGTGAATGATGAGCAGAGAATGTGCAGAATCTGTATTTAGTGCCTGCGGCTGCACCATCACAGAGCGGCCCAGGATACTTCTTGGACCAGGGTACTTAGGGATGAAATCGGCAGGAGAGGAGAGAGAGATGCCTTGACAAGTGGAATCAGAATGTTGGCATTTAACATAATGCAGAAACAGCCGAGGCCTAGAGCTAGTCTACGGAAGGGCAAGCAGTGCGGAAAATACGCTTCCTCTCCCAGCATGCAGCTGAGTTAATGACTTCGTGAGAGGTTGTTCACTCTCACACACTGAGCTTCCTGGCTCTGCCAGAGACCCAGGTCCTTTGTTATGTGTTGACTCCAAACAATGAGCTTGACATTCTTAATCCAGATCTAGCTGGTATCTAGAAAAAGCAAAAATATTGACAAGGTACCTGGCATTTAGAAATGGCGTGAGAGCCAATACTCCATTCTTAGGCCATGCAGGTGGTAGTTACATGGTTAATGGATTTTAGTTCAGTTGTCAATTGGAACCCTGTAAAAAATGCAAGGCTGTAAGACTCAGCTTGTGTAAGACATCTGGGAAACAGGGTGAATAACTAGCTCAGGGGTCACTGCGACGTGCTCATGTATGTAAAGGCTGGCCCCAGAGTGAGAGCTTGAAAATTAAGTATACTCAGGAGGCTAAGGAGAATCACTTGAACCCGGGAGGCAGAGGTTGCAGTGAACCGAGGTTGCACCACTGCACTCCAGCCTGGCGACAGAGCGAGACTCTGTCTAAACAAATAAATAAATAAATAAAATTAAGTATTCTTACTAGCATCACATTATATTTCCTTCTTTGAAAGCAGGTCTGTGTCTGATTAACCTGTGTCTCCCTAGCACTTAACACAGTGCCTGTTAAATGGCAGGTAGCTAATTGAGTGTCTTCGAACTACAGAAGTAAAGCAGGCCAGGGACGGTGGCTCACACCTGTAATCCCAGCACTGTGGGAGGCCACGGTGGCAGGATCACTGGAGCTCAGGAGTTCGAGACCAGCCTGGGCAACATAGTAAGAGCTTATCTCTATGAAAGAAAAAAAATAAAAAGAAAAGCAAACACGAATAACAAAGAAGGTTTTAAAATTTCATTTCTCTCTGACCATATCTTGGAAGAAAGGTATGATTTTTCTCATGTGCAACTGTAGGAAGGAAGTATCTTCTCAGGGGGAAGAGTTGGCAGGATCTCATAAGGAGGGTAGAGTATCTGAGAAGCATGTCTGGGATGAGAGCAGCGTTTAGTAGAAGGTTCGGAGGGGTCCTGCTGCAGTAATGAAATATGTGTTTTGCCTAATTTCGGAGCCATGATGACTCTTCAGAGATGTGTACATGTTGTGGGGTGTGCATGTGTTTTGTTTGGAGGGAGTATGAATTATGACTGTTAGCTAAAAAAGTCGCTTACTGTTTATATTCAGGGCCTGTAAGTATTCCTGTTAAAATTCCTGTAGTTAGAGGAATTTTTCCAAATGTTTGATCTCTTGGGATCTGTTTGTTTTTAAGGAAATGGTTTTCCTAGCTCCTTGTACCAAAGTACATCCAGAACATGAAGGTTTTACAAGCCTGCCCCAGAGCCAGGTGCAGTGGATGAATTGGCTTTGTGCCGCTCCCCTCTCCCGTCTTTCAAACCTCAGTGGTACATTGTTTCTGCAAAGTGGCAGCCTTAGCAGCTTGAAGCACAGGATGCTGTGATTTTGTCTGGACACCGCTGCATGTTTCCAGAAGAATCCAGGCTAGAGATCAAACTGGAATTGGGCTCACACAATATGATTGTGTGGATGGGGCCCAAGCCAGTACATTCCACAGATAGATCTGGCTGGGTTAAGAAATCTAACTTCTGGAATTTGTCTTAGTAAATCTCTCACCATGGACCCATTTTAATCTTCAGAGATGCAATTCTAGATGAGTAACTACTGTGTGCTAGATACCAGACAAACCACTTGCAGAGAGTATCTCATTCAATTTTGTAACAACCCTCTTAGCTTGTATTTTTCAATTCCCATTTTAATTATGAAGAGGCTAAGAAACTTAGCCTTGCTTACTGAAACAAAATAAAATACATTTTAAATAGGATCTAAAATCCTATTTAAGGGCTTGTAAATATGAGACCTTGTCCATATGACTGAACCATGACTTTCAGAGGTCTCATATTTAATTATGGATAGAAATAGAATTTAAAGGCCGGGCGTGGTGGCTCACACCTGTAATCCAAGCACTTTGGAGGCCAAGGCGGGTGGATCACCTGAGGTCGGGAGTTCAAGAAATAGAATTTAAGCATAGATCTATTTGATTCCAAGTTATGCATTAACCACTGCAGTATCCACCTCCTCATTAAATAGACTGTACATTACCAGGGGTGGAGTCCAGATTCCAACTCTCTTCCTGAACACAAAATGAAAAGAAAGACTGGCAGCAATATAATCTACATTTGCCTCAGTTTACATGCGTCAGGATTGAACCCAGATCGGCTAAATTATAAATTAATGGGATTTTTCCCTGTGTAAAAGGCAATCCTGTGAGAAGCATTTTGGAAGCTGAAGCATTATAATTTCTGTTTATTAAAATAATTAGCACTGGTATGTGGTTAAAAATCTCAAGCATTACAAATTGGTGTACAGTGAAATACAAGATCCCTCTCTCTTCCATCTCTCCATTCCCTACTTCCCCAGTTCTTACCCTCTCCAATATTCTCATGGTTTATGAGCTCAGTGGAACAGAGTATTTGAAATGAATGCTTTCCCTGGGATGTGTGATTTCTGAAGGTACATTCTGACTGATATTTCAAGACAGATGTCCCCACTGTGTGCTTGCTTTAAGGCTGGCTATTCTACTCTCTTTGTTAGACTCATGAACTTCCCACTGTCTCACTTATGGCACCTAAATTATAACCCTTGCCATGATTCTAAAATATTTTTGGCAGAAAATTTTCATTTATGACAAAATCCCCAATGACTAGGGGTAAAATGAAATGCGATAAATCAAGTGAGAAAAGGGATACCTTACTTATTTTATTTTCCTTGTGGTTTTACATCAATGACTCAATCCTGACTAGACTCTCTAGTAACCCAGAGGGTTTTAAAAGAAATTCCAGACAACCTACCCTAGACAGGTCCTACCCTACCTAGACAAGTGAATTTGAATGTATTAGAGTGGGTCTAGGAAGCTGTACTTTTTGGTGTGATATTCTATAAATGTATATTGAAAACTTTGAAATCTATGATTAAAAAATGTAGTTATTTGTAAAGTTAAGAATGATGCTATTTTTTCTGCCACTCAACAGGTGTGACTTTTATGGTTCATCCTTTTTATTCCTTATCCGTAAAAAAGCGTTATGGCAGTTTAATGCACACACCATAACATTTACTCATTTTAAGTTAATTTCTTCATTTTAATCACAATTCAGTGATTTTTAGTACATTGGCAGAGTTGTGCAGACATCCTCATGGTGTGATTTTAGAACCCTTTCAACACCCAGGAAAGATCCTTGTACCTATCTGCAGTCACATCCTGTTCCTACCCCAACCCAGGCACCCACTAATCCATTCTCTATTCCTGTAGACTTCAAACAGCTATTGTTTTGTGTGTTTAAATGCATTTTATTTTTAGACAAATAGCTATTTTAAAAAGCACCAAAGGTAATTCAGATGCTCAGTAAAGGTTGATATCTCTTCCCTCGGATTTTCCAGCTGACCTTAGGAATATTAATTATGTCAAAAACTTGACCTACAGAAGCAACTTTTAAATTAAGATTGGGCTGGGTGCAGTGGCTCACACCTGTAATTCAAGCACTTTGGAAGGCCAAGGTGGGCAGGTCACCTGAGGTCAGGAGTCTGAGACCCAACTGGCCAACATGGTAAAACCCCACTACTAAAAAACCTCTACTAAAAAAAAAAAAAGTACAAAAATTGGCTGGGCATAGTGGCACACACCTGTAATCCCAAGTGCTTGGGAGGCTGAGGCAGGAGAATCACTTGAACCCAGGAGGCAGAGGCTGCAGTGAGCTGAGATCCC